GGTACCATGACATATGGATCACTTGTTTGGGTTGAAGATAGCGGAACACGTATGGTGCGAAGTCCAATCATACTATCACCTGAGGTACATTTTAACTATACATTTGCACCTTTCAAATAAGAGTAAAGATATAAAAATAAAATATTTATCATAATTATGTTTCCATTACTTTAAAAACACCAATCCTTTCTTGGCCTTGAAGTTCTGGTTACACATCATTATCCTTTAAATAATTGATTGTAACATTGTGGGGGAATATTCGTGGCATGTTAGTCGGCTACAAATTTAAAATATATAAACAACTCCTTTGGTTTATGGACTTTTTCGCAAGTGGGCCATGTAACATGTGATATTGGTTTGTCTAATTTTTTATGTGTAAGCTTTGTATTTATCTATTTGTTTTCATGTAATTTTTGTCTGGCATCAATAAGGCACCAAGGATCCTCTAGAGTGAAATTTCTCTAAAGTTTCCTAAAGTGCTATATTGTGTGGTTGAAATTTACTGGTAAGTCACATCAGAAAAATTGATGTGACTTGTCAGTAAATCTCAACCACACAATATAGCACTCTATGAAACTTTAGGAAAAAATCACTCTAGAGGATCCTTACTTTCAATAAGGTCCTTATCCCTCGCTTCGACTCTTTTTAATTAATTTTTTTTAAGGATTCTGTTTCTTGCTCTTTTGTGCTCTACAAAATATGATACTCTATACAAAGAAATGATTTATTAAGAGTAATAATATTTATACTCTTATCAACAGGGGAAGGAAAAAAAAAAAGATTGTTGTAGTACCCCAACAATTTGTTGATATTATTATGAATTTGATTAATATGTGTTTATAGGACACATGTTAAAAGAGTTTTAAGAGATTGTATATTCTCATTTTTCATATAGAATGTGCAATCTTTGTTAATGACGAGATAATCAATCAATATCATCAGTTAAGGCTATAGAAAAAAAAACCAAAAAAATAAATAAAAATAATAATAAAATTAAGAACTTTTGAGTTCAAAAGTGAGAAAATGTTGTTATAAACCATCCAAATTCATATAATAATAAAATAATAAAAAAAATCACAAGGTGGTTGGCCTAGTAGGTAACGACTGAGGCCTAGAGGTTGGCCCCCTCCTAAGTCTTAGGTTCGAATTTTCTAGCCAACAATGCACACCTTGAGGCCACGAATTGCAGGACGTACGCTTTTTTTTTGAAAGGCTTGTTCGGGCTATAGGAATTTAGTCTAATGCGCATAAACTGATCCAAAATACCTTATATAACAAAAACAATAAAAAATAAAAAATAATTCATATAATAATGTGTTATTATGTCAAATGGCATTTTTCAGTAGTTATTGGATTAAACTAGAAAATATAATAAACGGTAGCAAATAATGGGGAAAGAAAAATGTTTGAGACCCCCTTTTGGGGAGACCCCATCACCCCTATAGTGATGTGAACCAATGATGTGTTATGTTATTATTATTATTTTTTTTCTTTCTTACTTGGACCAATCACACGTCCTATAGTGATGTGAACCAATGATGTGTTATGTTATTATTATTATTTTTTTTCTTTCTTACTTGGACCAATCACACGTGAGTGGGGGTTGTGGGATTGATATTTTGTGAGGGTCTGAATCATTATTGATATGGAAAAATAAGTTTTAAGCCTAAAAGTGAGATAATACCAAAATTTAAAAGGGATAAAGTGTAATCTTTCTTATTTAGGCTTGGTTTGAGATTATAAGTTGTCACATTATTTTCTCTATTTTCTACTTATCTTTTTTTGAAAAGTTAAAAAATTACTAAAATAATCTCACTGTAACATATAAGAGTTTTAAAGGTCAAATGTTTTGGTTTTTAAAAGTAAAAATTTTGTCGCAAAAGATATTTAGGGATCAATTTTTATCGTCATGAGGATAGTCGTTAAAAGGTTGTCTCGAAAAGTAAAAAAAAACTTTTAACGACAAAATTTTGAAAATGTCACTAATAAATAGACTTTTAGGGGCAAAATAATTTAGTCTGAAAATGGTTTATTTTTTGAGACAAAAAATTTAGTCGTACAATAATAATAATTCATCACTAATGTTTAATTTTCATTACTAATAATATAATAACGGCATTTTTTATAATAAAAATATTTAATTCCTAAAAAATAATTTTATTCTTAAATTTTAATTTTTAAAACTTTAATTTTTTTGTAATGGCTATTTTGAGTCAACAAACAAAAAAAAAAAAAAAAAAAAAAAGAAAAAAAAAAAAAAACCCCTCCAAAACGACGTCGTTTTGGAGGGCGACAGGAGAGTGCGACAGGGGAGTGCTACCGAAGATCCGAATTCTCTACCAAAAGGCTGCCATGTTCATGAGCTGATTTCGAAGACTCAAAATTTTGTAGTTTTACTGAGATAGTTTTGATGTGAGAATGATTCGCTTTGATCGATGCAATAGAAGCTAAGCGTTAAAAAATAATATAATAATAATTAATTAAATAAATAAACTATCGAAACAATGGAAAGATGGTAAAATAAAGAAAGCCTGGGCTTGTTTAAAAGGATTCAAATGGGTGTATTTGTCACTTGTTAGAACATGCCATGACTTAGATTTAAAGCCCTACATGGAGTGTAACTCACAACTTTCACTGTAAAAGTTGGAATTCAAATGCAAAATTAATATAAGCAATTCACATATCAGGAAGGAAAACAAAAATTCCCTTTAAATTCATAATCTTACATTTGTTTAGTCGGACTATTAATTTGAATAGGATTACACATCCCTGGTATAAAAAATTGCCCAATCTCACCCTCTTGAGATTATTAATCTCTATGAATTATTTTCCCTTTTCCATTAATTGATAAAAATAATTTTTAAAATTTTATCACATTTTTTTGCCTTAATGTAACCAAATATAATATAATAATCGCATTCAATAATCCAATTATTCAAGGAATAAAAAAAAAAGAACAAGAAGAAGGAATCCACTGATTATTTATCACATTATCTCGAAACAGATGATAGCATTGAAAATAAAATTTAAATTATCAAATCAATTGATGGTTTTTAATAATGTTATAAATATATTTCAATTAATAATTCAACTAATTTTATTACTATATAGAAGACAGTTAGAAATTTTAATTTTTTAATTAATTCTATTAAATAAAAAATTTCGATTAAGAGTATTTGTAATTTTTCAAACTATGAGAGCCAATTAGTATTTTCTGTAATTTATCCTATTTTTTGTTATTTTCATTTATTAATTTAGCACACGATGTGTATGCTTACTTTTAATACATGATGACATTTCCGCAAGTAATTCTAAACTCTGAGGCCATGTTTGTTTGGGCGGACTGGATTAGCATTCCCATGACTAATAATCCTGGGATTACGAATCCGTTGGATTATGTATCCTATCTTAACTAAAAGTCAAGTTTAAAATAATTAGTCCGTACTTCAATTGTCACTGCAGGAAATTTAGCTTTTAGTGGCGTTTAAAAAACGCCGCTAAAAGTGACAAAAACGCCACCAATTCTTTTTGTGACGCTTAGCACCAAACGCCGATGACGCGGCCGTCGCTATAGCTTTATGGCGTTTTAAAAACGTCGTGATATTAGTATAGGCGGCGTTTCCTCCTAAACACACGCTGACGTCACTGACGATATTTAGCGACGTTTTTTGAAAAACGCCGTCATATCTTTTTAAACAAATATGACAATTAATATGTAAGGTTTCAGAGGCGTTTGTAAAAACGCCGTCATATCCTTTTTTTTTTTTTTGGAAATTGTACTAACTTTATTTGATTGAACTAAAAAAATATCTGTAATAACACTAATATAAAATAACAACTCCCATTCAAATAGTTGTAATGAAGCATTAAAAAATAACAAACTCTCATTCAAATAGTTGTAATGAAGCATTAATTCACTTTCTCATTCAATTAATATCCAATCACCATTACCCACAAAATTAACATATCCAAAATCCAAAACGTTAACCACAAACTAACATATATCCAAAAATCATGTCTTAACATTAACCACAAACTAACATATATACAAAAATCATATCTTAGCATTAAAGTTGTAGTCTTCACTGGTCTACATGCCTGCATCATAACATAAACTGTAATGAGATTCACCAAAATAAACACAAATTGAAGAATTCGTACCCAATACTTATAAATAGTACTTAAAACTTGAAGAAGCACTAACAAGAAGATTTTATCACATACCAAGAAGCACTAAATACATATAAAGAAAAAATAAAAATGCTTTTCAAATTTGAATCCAACCAAAAATCTGGGCCAATGTTGAATGCTTATTGTTGAATGCTTATTGTTGAATACAGTTTGTAACACAAGAAAGACTAGAAACTTACAGTTTGTAGCATCATCCTCATTCATTCCCAAGAAGAGAGAAGCATCTTGAATGCTTATTGTTGAATAAGCAGCTAGCAGTAGCTGAAACATCTTTGTGGTGTAAACATCTGCAAAAAAAATGATCAAAAGATAATTTTGACAACAAAAAGTGCCATAAGGTAAAACTTCTCTCAATAGAGGAAGATAACAAGAGTCATTGCCTCTTAACTAATTCAGGACCCTATACATAAACAAAAAAACAAAGTAACAAACCCCCATCTCCACCTCCAAGGTTTCCCCACACATAACAATTACATTATTTAATCGGGGAATTGAAATATATGTTGGAGTATCTTGAGGCGTTCTTACACCATACTGTCCCCAAGAGAAGGAATGTGGTACTGTTTCAAACAAGGCCAAGAGGACTTCACTTGCACACACACAGCAGCTCCGCTCTTATTTTCACCACCACCAACCACAACAATGATCAATCTGAAAATGATAGGATCAACCAAATACACACTGGAAGCTATCCAGGAAAATTTTGCATTCAACAACTATTCTAAACTAGTTCAAAATTCCAAAAGAACAACACATGTTTATACAAGTCGCTTATTTCTCCCTGAATTGAAAACTTAGCTCTTTGGGTCACCCACATTACCAATGGACAAGTTGAACAAATTCTTCACAGCAGAAAAACATAATTGGCTTTATAAAATAATTATAATTATTGCCAATTCAAGTCCTCCCACAAGAGGATATATCTAGTTGACGACATCGAGCACCAACTTACGAGACTTGAGAACAGACCACCTCATGCGCCTGTAATAAGCAGCTTGAAGCAATGCCAATGACAGTACAAATATCCACTTGAATCCCATCTGCATTAAGAGAAGTACACGCACGAGAAATTAACTTACCTCCTAATGTAATGTCGTGTGATAATATTGAAGCCAACATACCAGTTTTCTCTCTTCCATTTCTGGTTCTGCAGCCCATGACAAAAATGTCACAACATCTTTTCCCATCTACACCAATATTAGAATATGAGCTTAACTGTCTCATATGATTTACGATAATAAGCACAACAATATAAAAGTACGAGAGAAACCAACCTGAGATTCCGTTGCAGGGGAAACATCTTCATACTCAACAGCACCATCAATAAGCATTTTAGGCATAGCAATGGCTCCCCCAGGAAAGTAAGGATTATAATGCAACCCTTCTCGGATCTACAATACCATTACAACTTGGCTGATTATGGAAAGAAACGTTACCCAAATTTACAGAAAAAACAATTTCAAAATGTAAGCAACCTTGTGGTGGTTAACCCTATTGTGTATTATCCTAACTTTCACAATTAATAAAAAAAAAAAATTACAACCACCCAAATATAAGTTAATCGGGAAATAAGTGAAACAGTATGAACACAGGCAATTCTTTTCACCAACAATCCTTGAAACACATGGGAGTGTTCTACCAAATAGAACAGATGGGGGGTGTATTATGCCTCTAATGAAAGCTTCTGCTTAAGCATACCTTTGAATCTGCTTATTCACCACGAAAGTCTACTTTTAATGCACCAAATCTAAAAAGTGAAATGCACCAACTACTAATGTCTAACAGAATATCAATGCAGACCCCAAAAAAATAAAAAAACACTACTTATAGATGGCGAAAGCTCCAATGCTATCATGATATAAATCTCTCAGGAACACAACAATGACATCCATCTGTAAGTGACATGAATTAATTTGCATAAATGACAGTATCAGCACTCCACATGATGCAGAAAAGGCTAAACTACCTACCACCCCCCAGACCTCAAACATATGTTGGAGTATATGTTGGAGTATGGTGTAATTTCGTGATTTTGATGAACTTACCTGATGCTAAATATTATGTCAGTAAGTCTATTAAAACTGAAACAAACATCACTTGAAAATGGAAAATTAAATGATAAGTCAGTAAAAAATTGAAATTGGAACATATTACAAATACATGAATTGGATTATAATACAGGGAAGAAAAAGAAGAAGATAAAACTTAGAAAAAGAAACACAAAAGTGAGAAATATTAATGAAGGGAAAAGTAAACCATGAAACTAGTAGTTACTGGCTTACTTGATCTACCCGTAGCACAATGCAAGCAGAATCTGCAACATATTTGAGAGCAAAAAACCTGTAAAGAGCAAAATAGTTTGAAACACATAAACAGTATGTTGATGCCAAAACTCTAACAGCAAATTGGTAAACTGTAATGGCATCACATCTAAATGAAGGGGATCAGGTTATGGAAAATGATATTTACTGTCGGTAGAATAAAATTAATATGTACAAGTTTATAGCAATCCTCCACTAACCAATCTGGAAGCTCAAGTACAAAATCATATGCACATATACAAACATGAGAGAGAGAGAGAGAGAGAGAGAGAGAGAGAGAGAAATAAACAAATCAAATCCAGCTGTAATGCAGAGGTTATCTAAGTCGTGAGTTTACCCTTACTTACTGGTGCAACAAGCCACCAATATGCTTTAACTTAAGGAACATGTTCAACTAACATCCAATAAGAATGTAATATACTATTCATTAAAAAGAAGAAATATAGGAGAAAGTGAAAAACATTCCAAAGCACTTACAGCAAATCTCAAAAGAAGACATGATTTTCCAACTCCAGAATCTCTAATCAGCAAAAGCTTGAACAAGTAGTCATTGCAAATGACAAAAGGAATAATAACCTTTTCATTTTAAACTCAGCTGAAAAATTACAAAATACTTAACGAGGAAATACACCTTCAACATTTAATTGAATAATATTGGCCTATGGTAAATATAAAAAAAAAAGAGTAATCATTTTCCACAAAACAGATATTTCCTGTAGTGAAGGAATGCTCATTCATTAATGCAAAAGCAAATATACCAACATAAGAAAATATACTGAGCTCCAAAAGCAACCATAAGTTACTTATTTAGCAGTAGTACCAACATAAATGTGCAATGTCAATGAGGTAGTGCAATGGAAAAGTTGATGGTCAAATGCACCTGCATATATCACATATCATTTTCACTCTCCTTCTCCAGCTGAGTCTCTTTTTCAGCCCACTCACATGGATTAAATGATACAATGATCCCATTTCCACGTATTCAGTCACCATGGACAGCCGAGGAGGCTTTGTGCAGGCACCAAGGAATAAAATAACTGCAAAAAAATGTATTATTTTCTTCATATCACTACACTACAATTATTTTTGATATGAACATCAAAAGAAAAAAA